GGGACCCATACCAGAAGCTCCTTAGCTCTAGGCTTTCCCGGATCTCACTCCCTCCTAGGCTTCTCGGAGGTCATTTTCTGGGACCCATACCAGAAGCTCCTTAGCTCTAGGCTTTCCCGGATCTCACTCCCTCCTAGGCTTCTCGGAGGTCATTTTCTGGGACCCATACCAGAAGCTCCTTAGCTCTAGGCTTTCCCGGATCTCACTCCCTCCTAGGCTTCTCGGAGGTCATTTTCCTGGGACCCATACCAGAGCTCCTTAGCTCTAGACTTTTCTGGATCTCCTTCTCCCTAGGACCAGTTCTACAGCTAACTTCCCGTTGACCCTCTAGGAGGTCCTTCTGCTAGAACCCACAACAGAGCTTCTTCCCTCTAAACATCCTTGAAGGTTTCTTCCCCAGCAGAACTCCTCCTGCCTGGGCTTGCCCGGATAATATCCCCCTTTGTAGAGCCAATTAAGCAGTTCCCTTGCTTTGGCCTTCTCGGAGGTCCTTCCTCTCGAGCCCACACCAGAGCTTTTTCCTTCAAGGCTCTCCCGACAGCCTCTTCACCCTCAGAGCCCTTAAGTTCGGTTTTTCCAAGATCCCCCTTCACCGTCCAGTACTAAATGACGTTTAACATCACGAAATCAAAGAAAAGACATGCAAATGAATCTGATACCTTCAAAGTTTCACAGGAGTTCAGAAGACTTTACAAATTTGCTCAGTAAACAAATGGTTGACATGAGTTAACAGATCACCCCCCCAGCTCCACTTTTTGTCGTCGACGTGCGCCTTTCTATGAAATTGGGTGGAAATAGACCATTCACTCACCCTGTTGTCGATTTGCCTGATAGTAATGTTGGCTTGATTCCTGTCGTCAACTTCTTTGATGAGATTCAAAATGAGTAATGCATTGGGATCATTTGTAGCTTCCTGAGAAAACAATATGAAGAATTGTCGGAATGTGATGAATACAATTCGAAATTCTCAATAGTTATCGCCATGACTTACCTTATCAATTACTCCGATAAGTTTCCCTGAGCGAATAATCGAAAGCGCATTCAACGAATTCCCATACATCTCGTCCGTCTTCACTTCAACATTTCGTAGAAATTCACCGTCAATACTCATAGCTAGCTAGGTAGTTCAGTTGTTGTTACTGCCTACTACTGCCTGCTTGGTTGCTACCGTAGGAAGAGCTGTCGGCGTGGTGATACCTTAAGCGGCGAGGATGCTTGAGGGATGCACAGCTCGTCAATGCCACGCCCATCACGTTGCGCCCGCCAATCGCCGTCGACGATGGGCGGTGCCATGAGAGTGCGAAGAGCGGCATGGATGCGCTCGCTCACGAAATTACGGTAACAACGTTGAAGATGAGACATGAAATCCACTCGAACTTACTCCTTTTACAGTAATACAATTACGGTAGCAGATTATCACTGATCACAAGACAGATTGGGCTGAGTTCCTTAGGAATTAGCTTCTATTTATAGAATCAAGTTGTTGATTTTATGGTTATTTCTAAGTTTCCTAAGCCGTCCTAAAATATCCTGAGCCTGCTAGAGGGGCTTGTTGAGGACATTTTAAGGTACCCCTATTAGGCTCACTTCTTCTGGCTAGCTGACGACGTCATTCATTGTTCCGAGGCCCGTCTAATTGACGCCAAACTTGTCCATGAGAATAACGACGTCAACTTGAACGTTATAGATCTTTCAAAAGTCATTGCCTAGCTCCCATAGGCTTTCTTGAGACGAAATTTCTTGGACGGAACTTGAGTGTATGGCTCATTCCGAAGAAAAGTCTGGGAGCAGGGTGCCCCGAGGTTTACAAAGTAAAGGAAAATGGGGAATAGAGAAGGAAATAAAGGGTGAGTGGATGATGAAAAGAAAGGAGGCGACACAGATGGGTTGGAATGGATGACGGATTATTTAAGAACGTTCTAAATAAGTCGATGTTTAGCTTGGAGGAGGCAATGTTTGTCGATAAATAGTCGCATTTTTGAGGATGCGTATACCGTAGCCGATGCGACAATGTGTTGATCGCGTCGGCTCGGCTCGAGACGACGACGGCGCTGGGGACGGGCGCGTTCGAACAGAGGTGCTCCCCCCGTTGGCTGTCAAATTTCAGGAGAATCCAGACGACAATCAAGCAAACATCGCTCACAAACGATTTCAAGACGAACAAAGCGATCAAACAGCAAAAATCCCCGGGACCAGCTGACCGTTAGCTGAGTGAACCCGTCGGTCAACCACCTCCAGGGCATGAAGACGATAGAGGGATGGACAGGATGAGAACAAAACCGTTAATCGCTAATGATCAGCGACCAGAAGGTCAAGATGTGATTCACCAAAACGGATTAGGAAGGCCAAATGAGGACAGGTGATAGGTGACAGCTCCTCCCAATATGGCCATTGGCCACGCCCACACTTCCGAAAGAGTGCCGGAGCCATTGTGGTGAGCAAATTTATTGAACCATATATGTACTTTAGTTTGTTATACGCGTTTTCAACTGGATTTTCTTACGTGGGTGGCCAGAAACAGGAAGGAATGGGACGTTCGATTGACAAACTTCCACCCTGCTCATGTGGAAGCTCAATTCGTTGACCTCAGTCCGGCCTGGGAGGGGTTAGGAGCACCACTTCTTTGTTACCTGTTGAAACATAACTGCGGGACAGTTTTTACTAATTGAGGAATCGGTGCACGGAATAGGAACTCTCGGTCAATCTCTCTGAGAAGGGAGAACTTAAAGAAAAAAGCCTGTTACCCCTGGATTCCCCCCCCTTGGAAATACGTAGCTCCATGTAGGTTGACCTGCGTCAGATCGCCCTTTGCATCTATGTCAGGATCCCCATAGATGCTCTTGGAGCGGATCTTTGCTAATTTAAAACTTTAGAGGGCTCAAAGTTTCCTTCTTAAGTAAAAATTTCATTCTGGATTGCTGGCAAGTGAATTAAAATGCCTGTGTGCCATAAAGAAACTAGGTAGCTATAAGTGCCTATTTCAAGCCCTGTCAGATAAATCGAGATTCGGCAACTACTATTCATAAAAAAGCTAATAAGGAATAGAGGTCCGGATAGCTGCAGTGCTGGCTATTCCTTCGATCATGAGGATGACTATGAGAAAAAAGAGACAGTCGTGCAAGGATCCCAGCAACGGGTTGACTGTCAAAGGTGAAAGCGATGAGAAAATTACCCCTTTCACCTTGCTCGACGACAGTCTTCTGTCGAAAAAAGTCGGGAAATTTAAGAAAATATAGGAAGACTGTAGAGGTAGGATGGGGAAGAGGGGGTTGCCCTACGGGAGGAATCTCTCAAGACGTCGTATCTCAAGAATTTCCTAGACGACTGGCCTGTCTTGTAGACGCCAGCACATTATCAGGTTATCTTGGAGGACACCCGTAGGAAGTAATGGAGAGGGGGTCGTATTATCGTCGGCAGAAAAAGCAAGATTTCATTCAGTTTCATACGAGGCTGCATTAGCCAGGCCAGAATTAGGCATTAATCTGGAAATCCTACTAGAGCCAGTGGGGTGGTGCCGAAGAGCAGAGGGGTCCAAATCCCTGAGAAAATCCTGGCAATGACATTCCCCGATTTAAGACGCACAGGACGAGATGCATTAGGGAATGTCTTGATCCTGAGCGAGCAGAAGGATTGCCTTTATTTGTAAGGGTGATTACGGTTGAAGAGTAGGATCGCACCAGAGTGGTGTATGAGGAGGTGGGTGATGGTGGTGCAGGTTCAACCCAGCAAGTCAAACAATTCATGTGACGGAGCACTCCGTCACAATCGGCGGCTATTCACGGCTGGTAAAGGAGTGGGTGCTGATTGAGAGAACCGCAGAAAGACGACATTCTGACGACTGTGATGAGTCGTCTTCGGGGCGAAAAGGATTCCTCTATAGATTCCTCTAAATGAATCGCAACCTGGAAAGGCTCCCAGATTATCTTGCCACTGGGAAATTCTCACACACTCAGTCACATTATGAGGCTCATTGAAAGTGCGACAGATGGATTTTCTCGTTCAAGCCCATCGTTTTAATTGAGACTGTGTCGATAGGTGCACTTGATTACATATATAGTCCTCCTTTCGTGAGGGTCCCATTGGAGACGTAGGGTGAGCCAGCCTCAAATAAGATCCCACCTTTCCCAGCCCCCAAACCCTTCCCATTTTCAATTGAAGACTCCTCAGCGTGGCATGTACCATTATCACACCAAGCAGAACCAGCAGGAGCGAGATGGGCCTTGCTCGGAAACCTGGGGATCCAGGACACATCATCGCGATGACGGGAAATCCTTGATGTGAGACCAATCCCAAACGATGAACGTGAAGCCCAGCTGCCCCACCCCCCCCCACTTTCCTATTCGGCTGCCAACGATAAAGCTCCTGCGCGGATTAGATCACCTATGAACGCATAGCGAGAATGAACTAAGCGGGGTATTTTCGAGGAAGGAATAAAAGGGAACCCTTCTATCATATACGAGTCTCCATCAGGAATTGTTATGACCCGCGCCCCGACTCGGGATGCCAGATTTAGGTAGGGTCCGTTGTAAGAACGGAAGATTTTCTGGGGGAGAGCTGGCCTTCTCAGGCCGGGAAAGAACCTCTGAAGGAGAAACCAGCCACTTCTTCCGCCTTTGATCAGACTGGAAATAAGTCTCTTAAGACGACCGCCACAAGCTGAGTGCAACGTTGGATAAGGTCCTCCGCAAAGTGTTCCGGGGAACCCTCAGGAATGGCGAACCCCGTAACATTCCTTCGTTGGCCCATTCTGCGAAGGCCATTATCTTCAAATTGAGTCGTCTTTACTCAAAATCGCCGAGAACTCACCTGTCGTATTTTTAGTTACTGCTCATTCCTACAGGTGTATTGCATTTTTCTTTTCTTGACCTATCTAAAAGGGCCACTTCACTTTGGATCCATAAATCGGCTATAAGTTGAAGAAAATCGCTGGCTGAAAAAAAGGCTGAAAAAGGCTTGTCATCACTTAGATGTCCAGTATTCACTATTGATACTGGAAAAAAATGGGGATACAGGCCTTCTGTCACTGGACAATCTTTCGCTGGAGGATGCAGAGGCGTTTCGCCAGCGTCTTGCCGCGGGCATTTAGACGGCAGAAGGAAGACGCTATAGAAAGGGAACTTACTAAGGGAACTGAAAAGAAAAGGGACGAAAGGTAAGGAGGAAAGAGGAGAAGAAAATATAGCCTCTGCAGTTGCAGATATCCTGAGACCAAGGCAGCTGTTCCGGTGCTGATATGTCCTAAACGAAATTTCCCAGCACCACTACGTCATTTAGTGAGGGGATGTTTTTTAATACACCCGCTGTCGCCTACGGGGATCCCCGGCCGTATGACATGTCCTGCTGTTCCCTCCTGTAACCTGGTCTAGTCAAAAATTTCCCACTTTCTACCACTTTTCCACAGCTTTCCAGATGTCCTTCAGCAATCGACCCCTCCCCCCCTTTGCTAGAACCCCAGCGCTTGACGTGCCCTGGTGCCCTATTTCATTAGCTTCCCTATTTTGTGGAATCTCTATCCGTCTCGCCAGCTTGTCCGTAAGTCTTTGATGACGACAACGACAACGGCGACGAGTTGACAAGTCGTCGTCGTTGCCATGGTCATCAGTCATTGATGGTGTCTCAGTCGAGCTGTGTGTAAGGGGGGCTTGGTCGCCGTCCTACTCCCGCAGTAACCTATCCAATCAACGGTACTCGAGAATAGATGAGTCAGGAGGAGCGCAGGTAGTGCGGGTTGCCGAGAGGCGCAGAACGTGTTTGTGAGATGCGTGATTGCCTCCACGGGCACACCAGGTAATCTCGCATGTATTGGGTGCTCACATATTTATTTGATGAGATCAAGCTGATGCAATGAGGGCTGCTACCGTATCTCCCTCTCTCGAGGCACCATGGTGCGACGATGACGATGATGATGATATGCAAATGAGTTGTCCTTTGAGACCCGTGACAGATACTGTAGATGGGGATACTTCATTAAAGCAGCTAAAATGTCATTTGTGCCGTAGACATCTCGTCAATTACAGCTGAATCTTTCCCGCCGCTGTTTTTTCCTTCTACAGGGACGGAGAGTGTTAGGCTTCCGCGCTTTTCTGGATGCGCCATGCATTTGATAGCCAA